TGCTTGGGAGGGTGGAGGGACAGCGCAGGAGAGGAAGGCCCTCTAGGAGGTGGATTGATTCATTGACTGGAATAATTGGAATGGGAGTGTCAGAGGCAGTGTGGTTGGTACAGGACAGTGCGGAGTTTAGGGTTGTTGTACATAGGGTCGCTATGAGTCGCAAGCGACTCGACGGCACATAACAACAACAACAACATATCTAACAATCTCTTTTGGTTCTTAAATTTAAAATATTTTAAAATAGATTTTGACCTTCCTTTTTTTCTCTAAAACTTTGCACAGTATGTTGTTATTGTTGTTGTAAGGTGCCATCACGTCACCTGCAACTCATAGCAACCTTATGTACAATAGCTCTGAAGCCTGCTCCGTCCTGAGCCAGTCTCACTTACTCTGACACAGCTACCCCCATTGCCTTAGTTACCGTATCTATCTATCTCATCTGGGGTCTTCCTCTCCTGTGCTGGCCCTGCAAGTTTCCAAGTATGATGTCCTTTTCCAAGGATCAATCCTTCTGGTCTTGTGCCCAAAGTGTGTGATATGGAGCTTCAAAATCCAAGCCTCCAAGGAGAAACTTGGCTTCACCCACTCCAAGACACCCATTTGTTTCCTTGGCAGTCCATGGTATGTTCAACACCCTTCTCCAGCACCACAACTCAAAGGCATCAATTCTTCTTCTATCTTCCTTAGTTATTATTATCCAGCTCTCTGATGCCCAGTCTAGTTTATGGTTCAATTATTAGCAGTGCTAGAAATATATTCACATTACTTCAAAGAACTAAATGCTACCCAGCTACTGCTATCAACTTCTCTAAAAAGCATAAGCAGAAAGTCCTAGACAGAACAGGCAATATAAGTGTGGAATAAAACTTTAAAAATGGCTGAACTTGCTGATCTAATAGTGACTGGTGAACTCCCTAGATTATGGCCCTTTAAACCTGGAAGAAAGTTCACCTCAGGTGACTCAACATTTGGCAAAAGAATAGATGCATCTGTGAGGTAAACAGTAACACCAAGGGGACATTCACTACTTATAATTATCAACCTTACAAGACCAAAGGGCAGCATTTTCCCAGAGTTAAAGCTCAGATGGCAGAATGAGGTAAAATAGAAGAATGGAGGAAGCAGAATCCAATGAAATTTATGTGATGTAATTGATGTAATGAAGCAAAATGTGATGAATGGTTTAATGCAAAGACAGTTCGCTCTGCAAATATTAGCTCAAATCACAATTAAAGAAAATAAATGTGTTAGAGGAGCATATTTTATAATTTGTAAAGATTAGAAAACCTTTAAAATTAAATAACCACTTCTAGCAGCTGAACTTTTTATCTACTTATTATTGCTCAACTTAGTATGACCTTATTTTGTAATTTTGGAAAGCATTTATGACAATTGAGTTTTGTAACTTATTTTTGCCTTTCTTCTCAGCGTTGTCATTGTTTGCTACCACAGCTGGTCTTTATCTTATTCCCTTTTGCAAGAGAGTAATACTACTGGTGGCGGTGAAATGCATCTTTGGTGCAGCAGTTGGCGTTCTGGATACAGGTTTGTGAGCCCTTGAATGTCATCTCTAGTAAGAGGGACTTTGTATTACAAAGTAGAAATAGAACAGATGATGTTACACTGTCCTCTGAAATATTCTGTAAGATGATACTGACCTAATGAGTTAGTCATTGGATCACCCATCCAGAAAAATCCTTCTTACTAGTTGTTATTATTAAGTGCCCTCAAGTCAACTACAGCTCACAGACACCTGAGAGCAACAGGTCAGAACCTTACCCTATCCTGTAACTTCTTCACAATCTCTACCATGCTCAAGGCCATGGATGGTTGTGGTCACTGTGTCAGTCCATCTTGTTGAAGATCTTCCTTTCTTTCATGAACCTCTACTTAAACGTGATGCCTTTATCCAAGGATTGTCCTTCCTTGCCCCCCTGAAAACATGCCCAAAGTATATGAGATCAAATGCCCCCATCCTTGTCTCTAAGGAGCACTCTGGTTATACTTCTTCCAAGGCAGATCTGTTTGTTCTTTTGGTATTTCATGGGATATCCAGTACTCTTTGTCAGCATCACAATTCGAAGGCGTGAATCCTTCTGCCAGTTAAGGCATTTCCTCCCATGTCCTCTGACAAGCCTGTGGGAAGGCCCCTGGCTCTGGCTCAGTGGGACAGCAGTCTCAAGGTGTGCTCTGTCTCATATCAGGCCTCTGGTTCACGCCACGGCAGCTGCTGCTCTCCTGTAGGCCCTGGGCTGAGTGACGTGGGAATCTCTGGCCCTGAAGGATATGCACTGCATTCTCTGCTTCTTTCTGGCTAGTGAGATTCCCACATTTTTGCCACAGAACCTGCTCAATTTTAATTTGGTGTAATGGTGTAACTGTGGATAACACTAATGCATCCTATTTGCATGTTTCCGCTCAGCCATTTGGCGGTCAAGGCCAATGGCTTGGGAAAGCCATTTTGAATGATAGACCCACTACACTATACATAATTAGCCAGTGGATGATTACAGTGCAAGTGAGAGGATTTTAATTCATGATAGAACTTTATCATTGCAGCCTGGGAAGAATTGATGCTTTCATTATATAAAGCAATTTTGTACCATTATTTGTCTGAAAAAGCATAGAAGCTGTCATCCGATTTCAAATGTACTCTGACTTTCAAGCTAAGAAAAACCCACACTGTACTACTTTCCTTTCTCTTTTGTAAAAATTCCTAACATCCAGCGCGATATCCTCCCTTGTATCTTGATCTTTTAAAATCTACTAAATAACATAGAATTAATCTACTTGTGTTTTATTGATGATGTAAAGGCATCTGAATGGGTGGATCATAAATAATGAATAACAGTGAGAAGAATGGGAATCCCAGAACACTTAATTGTGCTCATGTGAAACTTAGACCTAGACCAAGAAGCAGTTGTCTGAACAGAACAAAGGAACACTGTGTAGTTTAAAATCAGGAAAGGTGTGCATCAGGGTTGTATCCTTTCTCCATACTCCTTCAATCTATATGCTCAGCAAAGAATTAGAATAGCTGGAATATATGAAAATGAATGCAGCATTAGGTTTAGGAGGATGCAGATAACTTGTCTGCAAAAAGCAAAGACGACTTGAAGCACTTATTGAAGAAAATATCCAATATGGATTGTATCTCTACATCAGGAAAACAAAAATCAGTTCACATTTATATGCAAACCAAGATATATAAATTTTTTTTAAAATCCATTCACAACCAGAAGAAAATAAAATTGATTCATGGGACCTTTTACAAATCAAGTCTCTATGTGCATCAGAACCTTTTTTTCAGTAGAGTGAAAGAGAGCCTATAGACTGGAAATAAACATTTGTCAATGACTTCTCAGACAAGTCTTGTAATGGAAGTCTTGTAACGAAAGTTTTCAGAATACTACAGGGCCTCCACAAGAAAAAGACTGATAACTCAATCACAAAATGGCCAAAAGACATAAAAAACTTTTAAGGAAAAATGCTCAAAATCACTGGCAGTAGAGACATGCAAAGAAAAACAATACTGAGGTACTGTCTCATTTGAGTAGCAGTAACAAAGTTTAACAGGATAGTAAACAAGAAATGTTACAGAGGTAGTGGAGAGACTGAAACTCTCATGCACTGTTAGTGTGATTATAAGTTGAACAGACCCTCTGGAAGGCAATTTGGTATTTCCTCAAAAAGCTCAACATAGAAATTCCATATGACAAAGCTATTTCATTGCTATGAATATATCCCAAGGAAATTAAGAGACATGAATGGAGATATGTACACATATATTCATAGCAGCATTATTCACAACAGCAAGAAAATGGAACAGTCCGAATCTCGTCAGCAAATGAATAGATTGAGAGACTGTGGTACATTCACACAACAGAATACTACACAGCACTAAGGAACAACAATTGTGTCAAGTTCTATATAACATGAGTGAGTGTTGAGAGCAATAGTGAAAATCCTCATGAATTCAAGTCTTCTGGAACTGGAGATGAAAGACCTAAAGGCTCAATTAAGGGAGCTGAATAGCAGCTAAAAAAATGGAAGGTGGTTGGAAAGCTATTATAATCTTTTTTCCTGTTTCTCAACTGATATTTTTCCAGAAAAGCCAAGTCCACTTAGTACGTGAACTGGTGAAAAAGTTCAGTGGAAAGCATGTTGTCTTTATTGCTCAGAGAATCCTGCCTAAACCAACTCAGAAAAGCCACACAAAAAACAAACAAAAGAGCCCCAGGAGCTGCACCCTGACAGCTGTGCTTGATGCAATCCTTGAAGAGTTGGTCTTTCCGAGTGAAATTGTGGGCAAGAGAATCTGTGTAAAACTGGACAGCAGCTGGATTATAAAGTCCGCTTGGACAAAGCACTGCAGAATAACGTAGAACATAAGGTTGAAACTTTTTCTGGTGTGTATGAGAAGCTCAGGGTCAAGGATGTTAATTTTGAATTCCTGAGTTTCAGTTGTAAACAAAATGATTAAATAAAGGTATTGTTCAGAGAAAAAGAAAAAAGTATGCGGCATTAGGGTTGGAGAAACACTTGTCAACAACCTGGCACAGCCTTGCTGAAAGTGAGGGAAATTTGAAACGCTTATTGCAGATCAGTATGGATTGCATCACAATGTCAAGAAGACAAAAATGCTTACCACTGGAACAGTAAGCAAACATCATACTAGATGGAGACAAGATTGAAATTGCCAATGATTTCATCTTTCTTGGATCCACAGTCAACATCTTTGATACCAGCAGTCAGGGGGTCAGGAGATATATTGGATTGGCCAAGACTGCTGTCAGAGACCTTTCCAAAGTACTAAGGAGCAATGATATTAGTTTTAAGACTAAAGTGTACCTTATTCAGGCAATAGTCTTTTCAGTCACTTGCTATGCTTCTGAGAGCTGGACAATGAATAAGGGTTGGAATAGAAACATTGATGCCTTTGAACTGTGGTGTTGGAGAAGTGTACTGAATGAGGTCATTATGAATTGTCGACAGTACCTAACAACAACAACAACATTGTCTTCAGTCTTTCCCTCTCTGTATCTAATCTGCTCTTGTTTTAACTCAGTGGTCCTTAGGTTTAGGCCATACTCTACACGGGTGTAGCATAATTAACATAAGAAGCCCCCTGATCCCAAATGGAGTCATATTTATAGGTACAGAAGTTAGGATTTCAACACATGTTTACAGGGGACATGACGCAATCCCCAACATTCCCTAAAGTTAACTCTCTCACCTTCTTTGTTGCTATACTTTTATTTGATAATTTGGGAACTATTTTATAGTTTAGATTTTGATAGTGACATTACAGAGTTGAATTGACTCTTTATCTTGGGATCTGTTTATCACTGACAAAAAGGCAGCTCAAGATGTCATGGCTTTTCCTTTCACTGTGTAGGTATTTAGATAATACGAGTGAAGAAGCTACATGGAGTCCTTGTGACGTATAATAGGTGTGCTGAAATTCTGTAGTCTGTAGGTTCCGGAACTCTGGTTTCCATCTATTAAGAAATAATCTTTCTCAAGTGGCTACCAATTGCAAGTACAGAAAACTATGGTAAGTCGGTAATGTTGTTGTTGTGTACTGTGGAGTCAGAACTGACCCCTTGCTGACCCTCAGGCACGTTTTCAGAGGCAATTAATTGTTTAGGAGGAGATTGTCCATCTTTCTCCCATGGAGCAACTGATGACCTCAAGCCACACGCCTTCAGGTTTGCAGTGCAGCTTCTTGCCACTAGGCCAAATTTGGTGATACTATGATAATAACATTTTTCAAAGAAAATATGTTATTTATATATATGTATGTATACATATGTGTCTATCTATATATCATTTATATTCTATCCTTGAAGATTGGTATATTGTTGTTGTTGTTGTTGTTGTTGTGTGCTGTCAAGTCAGAATCAAGTCATAGCTGACTCTCCAGTGGGTCTTCACATCAGAGGAGGTTGTACATCCTTCTCCCATGGAGCTGCTGGTAGATTTGAACCACATGCCTTTGGGAATTGCAGTGTAACATACCACTAGGCCACCAGAGTTCCTGCAGATTGGCATTAGAACTGTATTATATAAAGTCTTTAGCTGAGGTTTGGGACTTCTGGAGGTGGTGGTTCTCTAGCATGTGGAATTCCTTTGGGGAGTGTCTGATGTTATGATCCCTCTAGTTCTCTTGAGGTAGCGGATTAGCATTCTTTAATCATGGAACTGATAGTTGTAGTATTTGGTAATTTAGAATGTTATAATCCTTGTGCCTTAAAAATTAGACTTAGACTCTTCCTGATCTTTTTGATAATTATGAACAATGCTTACCCTAGGGTAATTAACTTAAATAACTTTTTCTGTCTTTTATTGATAGGTGGCAATGTCCTTATTTTGGCTGTTTGGGGAGACAAAGGAGCCCCACATTTGCAGGCCTTACACTTCAGTTTTGCTTTCGGTGCATTTGTGGCTCCACTGTTGGCCAAATTGGCACTGGGTACCAGCGTGTCTGCCAAAAACCACACAGAGATTGACTTTCATAACTACTCAGCCCTCAACCAGTCATCTCAAGCTGACTCAGAATCTATATTTGGAATACCTGAAAATATTGATTTACTGTGGGCTTATGCTCTTATAGGCACTTACATTTTTGTAATTGCTTTATTTTTTTGTGCTATGTTTTTCAAGAAAAGTTCAAAGCGTGAGAATGGGAAAGAATTTACTGAGAGATCTAAGAGAGCAAAATATCACAAAGCCCTTCTTTGTCTCCTTTTCATGTTCTTCTTCTTTTATGTTGGAGCTGAAATAACATACGGCTCTTACGTTTTCACATTTGCAACCACTTATGTTGGGATGAAAGAAAGCGAAGCAGCTGTGTTGAACTCTGTCTTCTGGGGGACTTTTGCAGCCTGCAGGGGACTCGCAATCTTTTTTGCGACGTGTTTACAACCTGGAACCATGATTGTGTTGAGCAACATTGGCAGCCTGGCTTCAACCTTGGTGCTGGTGCTTTTTGACAGGAACCCTGTTTGTCTCTGGGTAGCCACTGCAGTGTTTGGAGCCTCCTTGGCCACAACGTTTCCCAGCGGCATTTCTTGGCTTGAACAGTACACAACCATCGATGGGAAATCAGCAGCATTTTTTGTAGTTGGTGCTTCCTTGGGAGACATGGCTATTCCTGCAGTAATTGGAATTCTTCAAGAAAAATACCCTGATTTACCTGTCGTTCTGTATACCTGCTTAGCGTCAGCAATAGCCACTACTGTTTTATTTCCTGTGCTGTATAAAGTAGCCAACTTATCTCTTCATCATCAACGAAAAGAAATCAGAAAGAGTGAGGACCAGAAAGCTTTCCTATCTCGCTCTGGACTAAACGAGGAAAGTGATGAGGACCATGCAGAGAAATGGAATGAAATGGACATTGAAATTACTGAAATGGATGATACAGTGACACATTCCGTAATAGAGGCCTCCAGAAACATTTGGGTGGAGCCTCCAGCTGATGATTCCAACCCATCACTCTCAAATACATTACTGGTTGAATCCGCTCTAATTAAAAGCACCTATCTGTGAAACCTCTTTTCAGAAACCAGGGGGGCAAGGGCTGATGTAGAAAAGATGGATTCCTTATTGTCTTCATTGAAATTCATCTGTTCTAAGGCCAGTTAGAAGGGACCACAGCAGATTGTCTTCACGGCCTTGAGAATCAAAATTTATGGTCAGATTATTGCTGATGGTAAAAAGTTTTGAAGTGGTCTGTGAGTTCAGGTTTTACATAAAAACCTGGATGGTCTCACACAGTAGGATCTTGTTAAGTGCCTAGTGTTTGGCGTGTGGCTGATGAGGTAATGTTTTATGGCCTTCATCCGTGAGAACATGCAAAGAAGGCATTGTTCTTGAGAAGCTGGGTACTGTTTTAATAGAATGGAATCTTTTAGGTGTCAAAGTGAGTAAACAAATTATCAGGCATCCTTATTCCTCCATGGTTGTTGAGGACAGTAATGTCTTTTAAAAAACACCTTTTAAAGTGGGTAGAGATTTTGTTAATGAATTTTCTTTCTTTGTAGGGTTTGACCAAGTATTCACTCACTGGTTCTGATTTCTATAAACATAGAGAAACCAGAACAGATAATGGCTACAGGGCTGACTCCAGTGTACAAGGCCTTCTGACTCAATGTGAAGTCACTTGTCTTATCTGGGCCTTTATCTCACCTGAAACTTTGTGATCCTAAAAAAATCAAAATGGAATGATTTCTAAAATTAAACTCCAAGGTTTTAAATGTTTCTACAAGATATCTGCTTTAAATGAACTTAAGTGTGACCCTATCCTTCACTTGAAATGAGAAGTGAAACAAAAATGTTGCGCAGCTTTCAGAGCTGTTGATTACAAACACATGTTAATTTAATACATTTAATGTTTATTTGAACAGTTAGCAAAGGAATATATTTTTAGGACTGTATTTCATCAGCTCTTAAGACAAACCTTTTTCACATTTTTAGTATCTCTGAAATGAAGATCTTACAACCAGTCTTCATCTAACATTTTGACAAAGTTTAATTGACAGGAATTTTTCTTTCCTCTTAAAAATATCTAAAATAAAATGATGTGTTTTATAATCAGTGTTTTACAGTTAGTGAAATACAATGATTATTTTAATTGCAGAGATTATTTTATAGACATTTTTATTTAAAGGAAGACTTATTCTTATAGGCAAATTTTCTCAAGTTACCTTCAATTAGGGTTTGAAGATGCTATGTTGTGATTTTATAGACTGTCTCAGAGTCACAACATTGATAGTATGGCTGTAAGGTAGTGTCTCAAGAGCCTTTGTTGACTTTAGGATCAGAGTCTGTGAGCGGCATGTCTGTTCCAGAACTCAGTCCTCAGGCTCAACTCATTGCCGCAGAGTCGGAGCCCACCCAGAGCTGACCCTCCGATGAGATTGTTCATCTTTCTCCTCTAGGGGCTACTGGGGGATCTGAACCAGTAGAAGGGCCAGGGCTTTGGTTAGCAGCACAACTCCCCATGCACTATACACCATGGCTGCTGCTTTTGTGTACTGTGGAGGTGGGCCGATCCATAGCTGACTCTCCAGTGGGTCTTCAGAAGCAGTGAATAGCACAGGAAGAGACTGCCCACCTTTCTCCCGCAGAGCAGTTAGTGGATTTGAACCACATAACTTTGTTTGCCAGCACAAGTCCTTACCATTAGGCCATCAGAACTCCCTATTCAGTCCTCCTCACCACTGTTAATGAGGCTGCTGGTTTCATTCACAGTGAATCTGTTCCTTCCAGTGATCAGCACGTGAGTGTCATTCATCTAAATCTCCTCCTTTCCAACAGTGACATTCTCAGAAAACCTATGAGCAATCAGAATGTGGCTTGTTAGGCAAGGAATCAGGGCTCAGAAAAGGTATTTCATATAAAGGCTAGAAAACCGGCATGGATTATCAATGGTAAAATACTGGAATTGATGGAGTTTTATTATGTTGGATAGCATCTAATTTCCACCTGAAGCAGGATGTCTGACATTTTACTAATTTTTTTAATACCAGTGTTTATAAATTTGTCTTAAATGAAAAAAAGTTCTAATAATATAGTGGTGGAAGTGCTCAGCTACTAAACAAAAGTTTAGAGGTTTGAACCCACTATTACACTTCGGGGGACAATGACATGGCAGTCAGCTTCTGTAAGGATTTATAGCCTTAGAATTCTTGGAAGGCTGCTCATACTGTGACTAAAGTCAGTGACCATGATTTAGAATGCAGTCCTGGGTGGTGGGTTTGGCTTGTTTGTATTTTTGGATAAGGAGGAAAAATAAAATTTTCTTGACCATAGCATATTCATTGTGTGTATCTGCCACAATTTCTGTTCATTGATAGCTTAATTTTGGTGAAGGATGATGGAAATAGTAACAGTGAAAATGAGATTTCTCTTACTTTCTTCTTCTTCTTCATATTCTGCTTTAGGTGAACTTATAGAAAACTTCTGCTCCTTTACTACATTTTCTAGGTTAACATTAGCATTTGCAGTTGGGAGTCTCCCTGGAAGAAGTGTTCTTCCTGTAGTACCTCCTTTTAGAGGATGGAGGATGCCCACGGAGAGAGGGGTGGTAATAGGAACATGGTAGAAGACTGGGAATCCACACTGGGCTCTGACCTCAGGGTGACCTTATGTACACCTCCTGGATCCTATGCCATCCCCACGATAGGGCTCCACAAGCCAAAGTATGAATAGCTGTATGAGAGTATAGGTTTTGTTAAAGTTTAACGATATATGTCTACATTGGAAGGAAAAGACAAAGCACTAATTCAAAGAATTAGCTGATCATTAGAATTTATAATCAGAATTAATTGACCATTCATCCTTCTGGTCAGTTCTTAATATCTGCTGATATTCAAGTAACCATCATAGTTTTTATTTGCCTTGTAACAAATTCCACATACTTAATGACTTAAAACCACACACATTTGCTATTTCAGCTTCCATGGGTCAGGATTCTGGAAATGTCTTCACTTGTTTTCTGCTCTGGGTGTGACAGGCAGCAGTCAGGGTGCCAAATTGGGTTTGTTCCTTTGTAGAGTTCAGGATCCTCCTCCAAGCTCACGTGGTTGCTGGCAGTATTCCGTTTCCTGTGGGCCAGGCCCCAGTCTGCTGGCCATCAACTGGGCAGCGCTCATGCATGGTTCCTAGCAGTCCCCACAGTTCCTCCTATGGATCCTCTCACAATATGGCAGCTTACTTTAGAGCCAATAGGAATGCTTTGCTCTGGTCTCTTAATCTTGAGTCCTAAACAATATAAAGTAATAACAGGAGTAGCATTCCACCACCTTTGCTATATTTTAGTGACTAGAAGCAACTCAGAAGGTCCCCCACACAGAAAGAGGGAGGATAGCACTGAGATATGACTCACTGGGGGTCAGGTACCTGAAAAATCAAAGGTCCTTAAGAAAGAAAAAGACCGAAAGCCAGGAAGAAGAAAGCTTCGACAGACCCAGAAGTTATTATAGGGATAGTCCATTGAGTGTACTAGGGTATGGGTGGGAGGTGCCCATAAACCAGGCCAATCAAAGCCAACATAGGGGGACCTTGGAGCGTGGGTGGGTTAACTCAGCACTCTTTCTTCTTCTCCCATGACATTTTATGTTTTATGTGTCATTTTATGTGTCCTCTAGTTTAATAGAAGAGAAAATGAGTTTTCTTGTTTAAAAAAAAAGCATCTGTGGTCATCTACTTCTCTAAAAATTACAGCCCTGTAAATGGTACTGGACAGTTTGCTCTGCCCTAAGAGTTTCTATAAGTCAGATCCACGTGGAGAGCATGCTTGAAGGAGTATGGTCCACTTTGTGACAGTGTAGAATTCTTCACTACTTTTTGGAGGGTTTTGTATGTGTGTGTATTTGTTTGTTTTAGCTCTTCTAATCTTGAACCTAAATCTTTAAGAGTCCATAGTTCATATGTTCAGTCCCCAATCCTGATATACACACACCACACTCCCTGCATATACTCCGGTTCTCTCCATTTAAAAGGAGTGCTTGTCTCATTGATTGCTGCTTGTTGACTATGCATATACGTCAAATGCCTCCTGTTTGGCTGTGTCTTTGGGAGGTGTTGGGTGGATAGAAGTGGAAGGCCAACAGTGTTCCTGACTCTTTACCATCTTTATCATCTAATTTACTGTCTTTACCATCTAATGCAACACTGCATGCTGGAACTTCCTGGAATGCTGGAAATGTTCTTTATCTGCACTGATCTTTTACCACCAGCCACCTTTGTATAACTGAGCCCTTGATATTTGGCTGCAATATAATAATTGAATTTTAAAATGAATTTAAATATCCACATGACTCAAATTCAAGTTTTCTGCTGTTGAGTTGGAACCAACTCCTAACTGACCCTCCTCAGGGTTTTCAGAGGCTTTAAGTCATGTGGGAGGTGATTGCCCATTCTCCTGTGGAGCCTCTGGTGGATTCAACCACGAGAAAGGTGCCATCTTTGAATAGCGCAACTACCCAGAGTTCCTTTTCACATAACTAGTGGCAGCCATATTGGTCCACACAGGCCTAGTGGAAGCGACAAGGTGTTCAGCAATCACACAAGATTTTTCCAGGTAATTGTTATTCCTGTTGTGCTTGAAATTGGTATATCAGAAAGTTTGTGCTTGAAACAAACTCTCTGAGATTTGGTGCCTACTCATAGCAACCCTCCACTGGATTTCCATGGTTGTAAAACTTTACTAGAGGTGATTACTATGTCTCTTTCTCCTGGGAATCAGCTAGTGGATTCAAACCATCAACCTTTTGGTTACTCGGTCCTTCGTGTAATGTGCCACCAGAGCCTCTTAGTTTGTACTAGAGACATTGTCAAATAACAAAATATAGATCATCATGGCTCTTAAGCCCAGCCTGGATTTAGGGGTTCTTGATAGTAGACTGGGGTGCTTAATCATCTGAAAGTAAGGGTTTGGCCTCCCTTTTGTCAGCTGTGATGTGGTTCCCACTCAACAGCAATGGGTTTTTTAAAAAGTATAAATAGAGCAAACTGAGCCTGGTGACCTTGGTTGTCCAGATGAT